CAAGGAAGAGAGCAGGGTGGACCACCCCCTAACTTTAAATGGCCCAAAACCACCAATTTCAACCCATAAAAATAGAGTTGTTGACAGCCCCAAAACAACCCAAATCAGTGGGAAAGGATAAGAAAAACAAGCATGCAAAGCAAGTTAAAAAGGCAAGTGTTATACCTCTTGAAGCGAAGGCCAACTCTAGGCAACAATTCAAGCCAAAACCACCTTCTAGAGCTCCAAGAAGACCTCAAGGAACCTCAGCTCAAAGATGAACCACTTTGGTTAAGGAGGTGTAGACAAAAGTGTGGTGTATCTAAGCTACAATGCACAAACTTGCAAGAGAGAGAGAAAGATAATTTTTACTCCAAAATTCTAACCCTTAAAAATGGGGAAGGAGACCCCCTATATATAGAAAAACATGCACTTGGTTAAGATATATCCCTCCATACACGTGTAGGGGGGAGATGTAGTCAATTGTGCCAACAGCTGGCACAACTGTCAACAAAATATCTGAAAAAAGGACACTGATGGCTAGCTGCCTACTAATGTGGCCGACAGGCCACCAATAATGGGTGGCAGGCCACACCATTGGCCAACAAGGCACAAGGGTGGTCGGCAGCCCACCAGAGAAGGCTTGCAGGTCCTAAGGTCTTGAGGTTTGAAGCACTAGGGTTTTGGTCCAAAACAAGACATAGAATAGATAAGGTTTAAATGCTCAAAGACAAGGCATTCCGCCGAGGACTTTGGGCACTAAAATGAGCACATGTAGTCATAATCATCGAGTGCACAAGCAATGACGTCCAAGTCTTGAGAATGGTAAAAAATGGGTTGTCTACAAGTGAATATTGGTGCTTTGAACTTTTTAGGCAGCACAGCCCATGCAATGCGTCGTACAAAAGGGTCGCGTCTATCATCTTCATTCGAATTATCACTTTCTTTCTCCCGTCTGCGCCGTACATATGGACTTTTTTCTGATGAGCTGGATACATCGACTCGCCCATTCTTTCTGGGTTCTTGAGGCAGTGAGTTGGAATCACTACCATTATCATGTTTCCGAAGTCGACGTCGTTGAGCATCCTTCTTATTTTCTGAGGATTGACCCCGGTCATGGCGTGCGGCTTGTTGGAATTTGGCTACCTCCAGGGCCAATTCCTTATGCAAAAGCTTGTTATTAGCCATCATATCTTCTAGACACTATTCGTTTCGTGTTGCTTGATCCATGATCGTCTGCACAGTTTCCTGCACAAAAGTTGAGAGTGAAGTTTGAGCTACTAGGTTGAAGTTCAAGGCCCGTCGCGCGGTAATATTATCTGGTCCAAGCATGTTTCTTGGAGTAATGTCATCTCTTGGTGTAACATCTTTAGCAACTATCGAATGATCATTTGTCAATCCTGTCATTTACGCACTTGAGTATTCCCACAGACGGCGCCAATTGTGGTGATGTGGTTTGGAAATACTCCAGAATCCAGTTAGATGACCCTGATCCTCTAGTTGCTACCTGAAAAAAAGGGATGAACACTCCAGTTGAGGGTGCCGAAATTAGCACTCTAACGGATAAGTTAGTATTCTCTTTAGTTTTATTCTATTTTAAGTTATTTCGAATATTCTCACATACCTCTATTTGGCTGACGTTCCTTCCTTTTTATATTATGGGTCGGGCCCACTCTTAATCTCGCAAATGGTTACTTACTCCGCCTTCCAGTTGTGTGTTGGTTCGTATACGGCTCTTTATACAGTCGATTCGTACATTCGGCTTCATGAGCCCCTGGTTAGGGCCGAATTGTCTTTGGCCTGATGTCGATCAAATGTCTTAGCTTTCCTAATTGATTTAATTTGGCCACCACAAAAATCATTATATAATAATCTAACTCCAACTCTAACTCAAACATATTTATATTTAAATTTTTTAATAAATTTTATATAATTTCTATTCTACATGTGTTTATTTTCCAAATGAATATAAAAGAAAATTAAATAGTTAGAATAACTTTTAATTTTATATTACTAATTATTTTTCTAATTTAAATATTATTTTTAATATTAAAATGAGTATTTATTTTATTATTTTATAATTTAATATATATCACACAAAATTATTATGGCCTTGTTTGTTATCTCACATGAGTGGTAGGATTTGAGTGATAGTGAGGTTAGACCTGTAAAAGTATGTTTGGTTGGAGAAATTTATGAGTGGATTATTAGTGTAGTCGGATTGACAATCCCTTTATACAATCGGATTAACAAAGCTAGAAAAGGTCCCAGAAAGACTAAAAGAAAATCATGTATTGGTCCAGATAAATCCATTATGTGTAAGTAAAATAAGAAATAAATAAATCGAAATATCATGACTTTGTTGACCTGACCAATAAAAAAGAAGAGATTGAAAAAACAGTGAGAGAATTAAGTGTTATTTTATTATTATTATTATTTTTTATCCAAGTGCAATCTGTTATTCGCCAAAAAAGAAAAAAAATTTATATTTGTTTTAGATTTTTTTTAATATAAAAATATTTGTTTTTAAATTTTATATAAAATAATTTAACAATTCCATTACTAATCATCATTCCATTATTATCAAAACAAACACACATTTACTTAATCTCCTTACTAAGGTCATCTCCAACGGTTCACCAGGTTCATTATCAAATTTAAATTTGATGAAAAAGGACAGTTTTTATCTCTCCAACGGTTTCATCAAAATGATATTAAATTGAGAATGGGCCAAAACTTTCACCAAACTGAGAAGTTGGGGCAGATTTTACCATTTTATTGTATGTTTACATTGGAAGTGGGTCCCATCGGACAATCAGCCGGATGTTCAGCTAGTTGTCCCACTAATCGTCCGGTTTATACAGAAAATGCAGAGCAATAGTGGTTTGGTTTGCGATCTGGCTTGAAAAGTTGGTTGCTTTTGTGGCACCAAAAATAAATTCAACATTGATCCATATATAGCAGAGGGAAATGCATTGTATATAGATTTAAATTTGTATCAAAATTAGCCGTTCAACATATGCAACTCCAATAAGTAACCATTGGTGTTGCAGAGGATTTGACAAAGTTACCGTTGTTGTGATCTATAAAATATATCTTTTTTTAATTTCACAATATCATTACAATTTATATTTTCTTTGTGATTACAATTTCTATTTTCTTTGTGAGCTTTAGTATATATTATTTCTTTGTCAGTTGAAGTGTATATCATTACAATATATTTCACTGTCTATATTCAAAATTCGCAGATATAGAGAACGACGCATTCTAAAACGTCTTCGAAATGTTGCAGGTGAATAAACTGAATTTGCCGTAAAATAATCCGCAAATAATTGTTTATGACCCTTCCATCTATCGCGACATATGTAATTATGTCCTTCAACAAAACCATTTTTTTTTTGATCAATTAGTTGATTGCAAAATTTCAATCATACTAACATTATTTATCTCATAAAACCCAAAAGTTTTCATCATCAGAGGATGAGAAAGAAGAAGAGAACGAAAATGAAGTGAACACGTAAGAATTCGAGATACTCATTATGCTCTGCTTTTAGTTATAGTTGGTTGCAGATATAACGTAACTCTTTTGTAAGGAAATCATTATTGGAGGCAAAAAAAAATAAATGAATATTTATTGGAGGGAAAAAAAATGGGAAACAAATTGGGAAAAAGAAATTGAGGAAATTTTTTTTCTTCTCAATTTCCTTGTCTGGTCGACCGGTCGGTCGTTCCACCGGACGTCCATTGTCTTTTGATGAAAGGTATAGTGCATTGTTGGAGCAGATGATATCAAATTAAGATACTCGCCTTTTTTTTACTCAGATTTGATGAAAAAATTGGTGAACGGTTGGAGATGTTCTAACAATCTCCACATTAACAATCTCTTCACTAACCATCCCCTCATTAACAATCACGTCCAACTTAATCTGCCAAACAAATGTGGTCTATATGATAATTACACTTTTATAATATGATAGAACTAAAATTATCAAAACACACAAATAATTTAACTAAAATTAATATAGACAAATATTCAAATAACAATTTTATAAAACAATATCGCAAATATTATCAAAATAAATAATTAAAATCATATTTTAATTTTAAATTAAAATTAAAATTAAAATTATTTTTTATAACACATATTGTATCATTAAATATTTTTTAGAAAAAAATACCACATGCAATACACGGATAAATTACTAGTTTAAACAATAAAATTGAATATGGGAAACAATTTACAATCAAAACTAATAACAATTTTACTCTTTAAAAAATAATAAAATAAAAACGCATTTGTGAAACAAATCTTATGTGTGTTTGATTTCAATTTTCTGAATCTAATTTTTTGAAAATTGAGTTTTTTAATTTTTTGTATTTTTTTGTTAATGAATATATATATTTTTTTAATTTCAAGCAATTTTTTTAGGCATACATTACTTAGATGTATCTAAATAGTAAATTATTTATGCAAAAATATTTTTAAAAATTAATAAATGTACAAAAATAAAAAAAATGTATTGAATTTATATATATATATTTAATATTTTTAATATTTAGTGAATTTTTTATAGATTTTTTTATAAATATTATATTTTCTAATTATATTTTTGTTAAGTATGTTTAAAAATTATTTAAAATATTAAAAATGATAAAGTAAAATTTTTTAAGAAGTAAAATTAAAAAATTGAAACAAATAGTATGTAATTTTTAGAAAGGCATTGATTTAAATTCACTTAAAACACCTATTCCTACAACCCTTTACGTACATAGAAGTTGGAGATAGGGTAAAAAAAAAAAAATTTGACCAATCAAAATTAAAAGGTTAAAGAATGACGCAAAGGGGTCTCAATTTTATTCTTTTTAGAAACAAAAATGTTAGAGGCGTCAAAAATTATATTAAAAATTTTATCAAATGTCTCACATAAATATAAGAGACCAATATTATATAAGTCCCACGCGACATTTAATAAAACTTTTAATAGAATATTTAATATTTAGGTGTAATCTTAAGAGGTAATAATAATTGCATAAATGATGCCGCTTTAAGGCTCGTTCCAGAAAGCCCTAACCCTTCTTACTCTAGAAAGCGTACTGCCCTCCTCTCTCTCTCTCTCTCTCCCTCCCATCTCCTTGACGCAGTGACATTACTGAGCTCACGATCTGCACTTCAAGTTAAATCTTTTTATCTTTCTCCCAATATCTATGTCTATAATCATGTATTGTCTGTGTATATATTGACTAATTCTCACTACTTTTTGTTTTCATTCTGCGATTTTCGTTCGTTCCAGCAGCGAAAATGTCTATTCGAGTGTTGAATCCGAACGCGGAAGTACTCAACAAATCGGCTGCTCTGCACATGAACATCAATGCCGCCAAGGGCCTGCAAGACGTTCTCAAGACCAACCTCGGCCCCAAAGGCACCATCAAAATGTGAGTTCTCATAGTTGTATTACTCACATTCAATTTCAGTTAGTTTTCTCTATACTTTAATTTTACCTTTTTTTTTTAAATTTTTTTTTATAGGCTTGTTGGTGGAGCTGGTGACATTAAACTTACCAAAGATGGCAACACACTATTGAAAGAAATGGTTTGTTCTCTTTTCTCACTCTTTTTTATATGGAAACCCTAGATTTTAGTTGTTTTGAAGATTGATATGATTTGATATTTGCGTAGTTTTTAATGTTATTGAGTACAGATGCAAGCGATTTACGTGCTGTTTCACACTTGTATTCATATCAATTTCGGTATGGCATTATGAAACTTGCATTATGGGATGCTTCAATTGGATAGGGAATGGAGTACTAATTAAGGGTCACTTAGGGTCACGCGTTTGTTGTTTGGTTGAAGAACAAGTATGATAAAAGCCGCAGAACATTTAAGGGTCACTTAATGTGATTATCAAGGCTTGTAAACTTTTAAGGTATTACAGTGATGAGGGGCATGAATGAGCAGTTGAAGGGCAAAGAGGGGAATGGAGTACAATGTTGAAAAACTTAGTTGAGCTCACATTGTATAATTTCATTATTATTATTCTTTGTAGTACTAGTGTTTGAATTTGCTACGGCTGCACTGTTTGTTAAATAAATAAATAAATAAGAAGCTTAATCTTGGTGTACTGGAAAGCGGAAACTGAAAGTATATTTATGTGTCCAGCAAATTCAAAACCCAACTGCAATTATGATTGCAAGGACTGCTGTTGCCCAAGATGATATTAGTGGGGATGGAACAACTTCCACTGTCCTCTTCATTGGTGAGCTTATGAAACAATCAGAACGCTATATTGATGAAGGTTAGTAATACCGCTAACTCCTTTGTTAATTTCTATATATTTTAGTAATTTTTCATAGTTCTGCTTTGACATAACCCAGGCAAATATGTGTGATAGTGGAATTTTTGGTACCTGGTATTTAAATACATGTGATAGTTGGTGTGGAAACGCAAAATATTTGCTCATGTCTATATGTTTTACTGGATTGTTGGTTTGTGCAAATATGAATGCTTCAAGGCCAGCTTTGTAGGGTGAATCCAAGTATGATATGTAATTTTATTTTCTTGTCCACCCTTGTGTATTCCAATATATAAAAGACATGTTTATATAGGTATGCATCCACGAGTTTTGGTTGACGGTTTGGAAATTGCCAAACGAGCAACACTGCAATTCATTGAAAAATTTAAGACCCCGGTAGTGATGGGCGATGAACCTGATAAAGAGATACTGAAGATGGTAGCAAGAACAACATTAAGAACAAAGGTAACTTACATGACTATTCCTTTTCTTCTCTCTCCCCTCTCCATTCTAGTTTAATATGTTCCACATCTGTTACATTTTATGCGATTTTATGTTGTACTCTTTCCTGCAGTTGTATGAAGCACTGGCAGATCAATTGACTGACATAGTTGTAAATGCAGTGAGTGCTTCTGGTGGTTTTATTTCACATTTAACTAGGAAAACTGTTTTTTGGTATTGCGAGCATTTGACATTTACTAGTGCATTTATTTATTTGTGTTTTAATATTTGGTAGCTACCACTTTTCCCTTGACTAGATTTGTATTACTAATCTACAATTTGTGGACACCTTTATCGCATCTTGTATGTAATCTTCCATGCCTTGGATTTAATAGGTACTTTGCATCCGGAAACCCGAGGAAGTTATTGATTTGTTTATGGTTGAGATCATGCACATGCGTCATAAGTTTGACGTAGACACCCGTTTGGTAGGTCAATATTCTGTTATGTTCAATTCTCTCTCTCTCTCTCTCTCTTAATGTGTCTGTGAGTTTGATATTTTGTTTACAAAGTTTCATGAATTTTATGTTGATGGATTATGTCAATGACATAGTTTGAAATCATCATTGCTTATCTGTTAGAAATAAATATTTTTATCACTCTTCAACCTCTTGGTCAAGAGTTGCCATGTATTTGACTTGTTATCATTTCGTTATTTGAAAAAAGTTTTTTTTTCCCTTCATGTTTTTAGTACCATTGATTCCATGTTTTGTAGAATTTAGTTTCTGAAAAATGTTTCTTAGTAGCTGCTAAACACATCGGACAGAAAGGTTTCAGATCTGTTTCAATATTGATGATTACATCTTTCATAGAATTGTAAACTCCATCTTATTTGGTTTGATGGATGAAAAATTAGAGAATACTTTGGATGAAAACTGTTTTCAGAAAATTGTATTTTCTTGTTTTCCGTGTTTTCTTGTTTTTACTGAATTTTTTTTAATATTTAGACTCACTTAACATAAATACTCATAAAAAGTATAATTTTTGTGAAAAAATCTTTTAAAAATTCAATAAATACCAAAAATACCAAAAACAATACGAAAATTTAGTATATTTTTCGTATTTTTATGTATTTGTTAATTTTTTAAAATATTTTTTCACAAATTTTTTACTTTTTAGATACATCTAAGTAAGGTGCATCTAAAAAAGTAAAAAAAATGCTTAAAATTTTAAAAATATTCATGAAAAACAAAAAACTCAGTTTTCAAAAAACTTAATTCAGAAAACTCAAACCAAACACACTGATTAATTTCACCTTCAGTTTTTCAGAGTATCCTTGTTTTCATAGTTTATAGATTTTAGAAGTTCCTTCTCTCTCAATTTCTTACAGATATCATAGTGTATTATCCCCAGTCTCTCATGTTGTGCTTACTGTTTTCTAGGTTGAGGGTCTTGTTCTGGATCATGGTTCAAGGCATCCTGATATGAAGCGGAGAGCAGAGAACTGTTATATCTTGACATGTAATGTATCGCTGGAGTATGAGAAAAGGTAAATGTTAATAAAGCATGTTGCTAGGAAAGGGGAAAAAGTAAATTTTACTTTTGTATGTGTTTTTCTTCCCTGTATATATATATATATCTCAATATATATAATATAAATAATGTTTCTTTGGATCTTGTAAATTACGATTTCAGTACATCAACTCATTGAACCGCGAGGAGCCTAAAATTTTGTCGTTAGAGGACTGTCATGTATCACCCGTTTTTTGCACCCTTTTACGTCACCTGGATATGTGCCAATATATTATTTGTTTTCATTAATTTTTTAATAATTATCTTTAAACAAGGGGGACCAATCATGACTATCCACCTAGGCAGTGATATAAAATAGTGACAAATCTGGTGATATGTAGCATTTCTCTGAGTTTTATGAAGGTAAATGAGATAGCATATAAGGTAGTACTTCACATTTCCTTGATAAGTACAAGCCTACAATGTAGTGTTCTCAACATGATATTTTATGATCTCTATTGATTAGTTACGTTGACAAATTGCAGGATTTTGGCCACCTAGACATGGAAGTATTCTTCTTGTCTACCATCCAAAATTTTCAACATATTGACATTTTATGCAATTTTGGAGAGGGGAGGCGGATTAAAATTTTAGGGAAAAAAATGTAGTTACTTTGAAATTGATGTTGATATGCATGTTGAAAACTTTCAATTAGCCATGAAATGACTTAACTACTATTTACTTTATATGCTGGATGATCTGTGTGGGTATATCAAACTGACATATTTTCTCTCAGTGAAGTAAATGCAGGTTTTTTTTACTCAAGTGCCGAGCAGAGAGAGGCAATGGTTGCAGCAGAAAGGCGTTCAGTTGATGAGAGAGTGAGGAAAATCATTGAGCTGAAGGACAAGGTACTGAAGTCAGAATGCAGCATTATTCTTGTATGCTTGTTAAGACTTCAAGTGTGCATTTTTCCTTTACAGTGTCTTTGAACGTGACTTTCTTGCTGTTTAGGTTTGCTCCGGTACAGAGAACAATTTTGTTGTTATCAATCAAAAAGGAATTGATCCTCCATCACTGGACCTTCTTGCTAGGGCAGGGGTAAGTCATGCCTACCCCACTGTTTTATTTTTTTATTTATTTTTTGCCATTTCTGTTGCTAGCAATTATTTGTTTATTGTGTCTTGACCTTCACTGGATCTCTAATCTATGCTCACAGCTTGTGTGGTTTTTGACGTGCATCGTATGTTTTAACTTCCAGGAGACTACCCAGAGCTCATGTTATGTTATTATATTTCATGACCATATTATTGTTGTTTCCGTTATGTATAACCATTATGGTGAAGGAACTGGTATATCAAAATGGTTAATTATCTACTGATAAATCAAATCTTTAGGCCCTAAAATTTAGATACTTTTGCATATGCTTGATAATTTGATACATTTAAGTTATTATCACCTGATTACCTTTCAAGTTTCAAGTTAAATTTACTAAATATTTATCAAGTGTGTATTTATTATTGACATTTAATGTGCGCAGAGCGTGTGCCCAACACTGGTATATTATAAATAGGAAAAGTACAGTACAAGAGAGCCTTGTTCATACTAACGGAAACCAGAACTTACAAACTACAAAGACGAAAAGGCAAGCATACCTCACATAAACAACTAACAATGAGTCCAACCAAAGTTGAACTCATATACTTGCAAAACTGTGCCAAAAGGCTCTGTTACATAATGCGCTAATGAATATTTTCATTAAGTTAGGGTCATTTTGATTGATGGTCTATCAAGTCTATTTCCTGAAACAACTGCATGGTAGGACCACTTGAAGGTTGCTTCACGCAGGCTGCTGCAGCTGCAGATCCAATAAAAATTTGTCAGTTTGTTATTTAGGGGTTGTTTGAGATGTTCTAAATAAGTGTACTTTTTAAATTTTTGGACTAAAAAGTTGAGGAAAAAAGATGGTTGTTTAGGTTAACTTTTTGACTTTTTACGAAAAAATGTGTATTAAAAAATTGTATAAATTAGTGTGTAGGAGAAGTTAGGGAGAGTAGGCAGTATGGCCCGTACCGTCTGGGCAGAGTGATTGGAATTTAGATATAAGAAATGGTTGCCTCCTTTTCGGGCATTGCATTAGACGGTGCTGTTCGGCCTGTGGGGCCCATCACGGGTCCCATTTTGCTAATCGGAACCGTTCAATACGTAAAACTCGTCGAGTAATATATGCTTGTAAAAAATCACGTTGATCAGATATCGATAGCTATCTGATTAGATTAGTTTTTTTTTCAACCGTTAACTATAATATCATTCATTTTTTTTTATACAAAAATGATTTGATTATGCAGTTAGCGATATCCGATCAACGTGATTTTTTATAGGTATGTAGTACTCGATGAGTTCTACACATTGAACGGTTCAGATTATCAAAAAGGGACTCGTGATGGGCCCCCACGGGCTAAACAACACCGTGTTGTTTGTGCTCTCCGCTTGTGCAATTTTTCCAAAAAAATCAGCAAAAGTTGTGGAACGTGAGACTGAGTTGTAATAATTTTTGTATAAAATTATATTATTATTTTTTTGGTAAATAGTGATAACTTTTTTACTTTTTTGGTAACTTTTTGACTTTTTAAATTATTTGGGGTATGTCAAACTAGGCCTTGGGTGGTTACATTGTAAAATATTTTGCTTTAGTTCTGTTTTACAGCTTGCTAAATTAGTTATTTCTTAGATAATTGCCCTTCGAAGAGCAAAGAGGAGAAATATGGAGCGATTGGTTTTGGCTTGTGGTGGGGAGGCTGTCAATTCTGTTGATGACTTGACTCCTGATTCCCTTGGATGGGCTGGACTTGTCTACGAGCATGTTCTTGGAGAAGAGAAGTATACATTTGTGGAAAATGTAAAGAATCCTTACTCTTGTACAATCTTAATAAAAGGTACACGAAATGTTTTCATAGCTTTACTTGGCAGTTAGTTCCATCGGTATCGCTTATGTTTGTGCAAAATCCTATTGCTTTTTGTAAATCAAGTAGTGATTTTAATGATCATTGCCATTCTTAATATTGCAGGACCCAATGATCATACAATTGCCCAGATTAAGGATGCTGTTCGTGATGGCCTGAGAGCAGTAAAAAATACAATTGAGGATGAATCAGTTATCCTAGTAAGTTATGATGTTAAACTAGTGTCTCCAATCATGCATGATCATGATGATTTCTTTTTCACACTATTTCATAGTTTCCAATATGTGCAACATTTGACTGGCTAGATGGTCATGGTGTGAATATATTGTATTTAAAATATGTGGCCAACATTAAATTAAAATTGTATTCTGATTAAAAATATTTGTGCTGGTTTTTAAGTTAGAGTTGTCTGAACACTCTGAATGGAGCACGAAGCTACAATTTTGCAGGGTGGTCCAACTTTGTGTTTGGTTGATCTACCCATTTTGTGTTTGCTGGACAAGGATATATATATATATATATATGTAGCTGTGTGTTTATTAATTAATTAATTAATTTTAAAAATGGAAAGAAATGGGAATTTTATTACAAAGGACATAGCCTTTTCCATTTAGTCCTGCTTGGCCAGGTGTGACTGTCGGCTGAACTGATTTCTCTCTATATATTAGAGGAGGAATTGATGAAATAGAGGGATGTTCTTGTAAAAAATTTAGGCTCCTATTATATATTTACCAACTTTGTTCTGATAGAAATATCTCAAATGTTTGCAGTAGGATCTTTACATTCTTGATTTTCTAATTATATGCCCTGTATTAATTCTTGGACACAATACTTCTTGTTTCTTGTTCAGGGCGCAGGAGCTTTTGAAGTTGCAGCCAGGCAATACCTAATTAATGAAGTAAAGAAAACAGTTAAAGGGGTAATGAGAATATACTAACTACCCACAAAAACATATTATTCTTAAGCCATTGCAGTTTTTCTCCAGTAAACATATTTGGGAGCCCTTACTTATAATTATTTTAACATTTTCTTGCATTTACAAACTTTGAACAGCGTGCCCAGCTTGGTGTTGAAGCTTTTGCTGATGCCCTTCTAGTGATTCCCAAGACACTAGCTGAAAATTCCGGCCTTGATACTCAAGATGTCATAATTTCCCTTACGGTATTCTATTTATGGCATCAGTGATCCTTTTTATTTAAGCTTTACAAGTGCAACGTAAATTGATTAAACTTCATCATGCTAACTGGACATTTGTCTAGGGAGAGCACGATAGAGGAAATATTGTGGGATTAAACCAACACACCGGAGAACCCATTGACCCGCAAATGGAGGGTATTTTTGACAATTACTCGGTCAAGCGCCAAATCATAAACTCAGGGTATTTTCTACCAAGAATCATTGTGGTCTTTTATTTTTGCTACATTTGTTACTAAAGCAAATCAAGGAAATAGCACAAACATTTCCTACAGCTTTTAGCCACATTTCTATATGAATAGTTTTAGTGCCATACCATGACAATCATGTGTTCTATGTTTGGATCTTGGATTAATTAGTTTTCTTGCACTTCATTTTCTTCCTATCTTTTCCCTTTCATTCCACAAATTCATGATTCAAGCATTGTTAACACTTTGTGTGTGTGTGTGTGTGTGTGTTTATTTATTTATTAAAAAAAATTTTTGGGGCTTTTTTCGTTTCTGAGATAGAATATTGCTTGGATAATATTTCAGGCCTGTGATCGCATCTCAATTGCTTTTGGTGGATGAAGTAATTCGTGCAGGGCGTAACATGCGGAAGCCAACTTAGCTCTTTATGATTGCCAGTACTTTTTTTACCAGGTGGTTGTGTTCTCTGAGAGATGAGGGTGTTTGAGTTGTCTATGCATGTATCTAAACAAACAAGGCTGGTTGTAGTTTGAGGTTTTTAGAGGGTACTTTTGCCATAATCCTCTGAATTTTTGTTTAGAATTGACCCTTGATGTTATCAATATCCACACCAAACGAATGGAGATAACTAAGCAGCTCCTCCCCATTCTCAATATTTTCAGCTTATCTGTTCACTTGTATGCCATACAGTCCATTTATTTGTGGAATTGACAGAATTATTATATCTTTTTGTGAGCCTGGAGGAGGGAAGAGTCTACCGGACTAGTACTAATTGGTTTTATCGTAATTTGTCTTTTGAACAGATGCTTCTAGCCATCGTCTTTCCTTGGTTTTTCTTCAGTAGGATTGCTTATTTTTTCACGGATTTACCATGCTTTGTTAGCCTAATAATGGTATGTGTCGGATCATGTGAGGTTCTTTTGGAGCCTGCTAGTTGTTAGGTCAGTCACATGAAAACTTGCAAAGCGAGACAAATCAGCCTCCACCCTGTAGATCTTGCATTGCAGTTGGAGTTGTTGGCCCTGTTTGGTATAGCTGTTAAAACAACTTATAGATTATAGCTTAACAAATTATAGATTATGACTTTAGTTAAAAGTTGTTAATCTATTTGGTGTAGTTGGATTATAGATTTAAGTTGCTGAGTAGTATTTGTTAAATAAGTTGTGAAATAACTTTTTTAATTAATTTTTATTTTTTATTTTTTGTTTGTCTACATTTATCATAAAAAATAATAATAATAATCTATAGTCCATTTGAGTCTTTTTCTATTTTTAAAAAAATAAAAAATAAAAAAATTTAAGAGTAAGAATCAGAAGCTGTTTGAAATAAGTTTAACTAAACAGTCTAAAATAATTTTTTTAAAATTAAAAATCATAAATTGATTTTAAAAAACTGAAACAAACACTCCCTGTTTATGAGAGCTTTATTTTATACAAATGTAAATTTTTGTTCACTTCGACTTGGGGTAGGGGCAGCGTGTGCTATGAAATCATTGGCGAATAATAACTTGGAATCATTATTGGTTCAGGATGTGAATCCCCAAGTTCTGAAGTAATTGGGATAGTGACTGCTTAGCCGTCTTTTTTGAGTGTAGTTCAATTTGCCAACAAGAATATTATGCCTGTTGAGAACGACTATCTACCTAAAGGTCCCTGAGTGAGTAGTCTTAGGCAAACCTGTTTGCGTTACCAAAGCGGCTGCCAATGATTTAAGTAACAGCTTAGGCCTCTGCAAGGCTGCTGGGTTTCAAGTGTAGACCTATTTCACATAGCAACTTGGGCACAAGAGGAAATTGTAGCTTGCCTGTGTATAAGTAATGGACTCTGGATTAACCAAAATGGCATTTAGAGTTGATAAACGAGCCAAACAATTAACTATGCAGGTTTGGCTTTATAACTTTAGTGAGTTTCAAATTTTGTTCAAGTATAATTTGTTAAATTTTAAATCGGTCTAACAAATTTTTGTTGAGACAGCCTTGAGTAGTTGGGGTATTTTTATATAGTTTTAGGCTTATTGAACGGAGTCAAACGAACAATTGATTATCTAAACTTGGTTTGAAAATTTCAACGAACTCTAAAATATGTTCAAACTTAACTTGTTTACTTAACAAATTGACTTTGAACATATTTTTAACTTGGTACGTATATCACCCCTAATGGCATTTCAACCAATCTACATAGAGGGAATGTTGTGTTTACTTTTAGCTTGAATTACCAAGCTCTGCATGCTGGAAGACAAATCTTCCATTTCCCAGTGATTCTGCAATGCCCCAGAAGGGAATCTGTGCTTCCAATAAAGCAAAAGCAAAAGCAAAAGCAAAAGCAAAAGCAAAATTCTGAACAAATTGAAAAATTCTTGATGGCTACAAGTTGGATGTAAATTGGGAAAATTCATGAAAATTCCATTGAAACTAAATATGTCCCAGAAAATAGTCAACCTCACACCCCCATGAGAGAGGGACGATGCAATCTGAGGATTGTTGCTTGCATATGCAGTAACATAAACTATTGGTGCTCTAAATGCTCCTTGCTAATTTTATCAAGAGAGTGCAGACTTAAAGACCCCTCTTTTCCTCTTGAAGCATGTATTCTTTCTTCATTTCTTCCAATACAGAGTCATTGGTACTGCCAAAAAACAAGACAATTATTTTGAATAATATTCTAGACTGATTGCATGTTGTCACAATTTCCTAATAAAAATATAGTAAGATGATTGTGAAATATTTATATGAATTACGATTATCCTAGGAAAGCCATTCTTTTTCCCTCGAGGTGCTAAAGTAAGGAGAAAATGACGCCCCCCAGCTAACTCCATCTGGAAGGATTGATCACGTGGTTAGAGGATCATCGAAGAGTAGCAAAACACTTCAGAGGTACCAGACATACGAGGGGATGATTGGGAGAGAGATGGAGAAATCCAACCAAGAGAGGAGATCATAGAGATTCATAGCATAGAGCTCCAAGTTCTCAACCTCAAATGGTGTATTCTAATTGTCATGTAATGAAAATACCTCCTACATATAAGGTGTGTGAGCCTTCTTTTTATTGGGGGTGTAGCGAACAAAGGCCCCAGACAAGGCGGTTTTCTAGTGTGATCAGCTTCTTAGGAGGCTATGTTAACTATTCATAATTGAAGAAGATGCGGGGGAAATTCCTAGCTTCTGGTGTTCAGTGAGCAATGCCTTGTTCGATTAAGATGCTTTTTATCGCTTAGGAAAGGGGTTTTCCTGGAGGGAGACGATACAGAAAGGCATCGAAGCTAGTCCATTATGTGTGTTCGTTTATGTGAAGGGAGAGGAACAACAGAGACATTCATTGTTTTGAGGGAATGATGCCTAATACCATTTTTTTTACTTGAAGAATCTTTTCCTTCATCTCTTGCATCTTTGCAGACTTTTTTAGAGAATTGTATGGTCTTGTAGATATATAGGGTTTTTGTTTGGATTTATATATTGAGTGTACATACATGGATGAAACCATGCGTTTGGTCCTTTTAAAATAAATTTTACTTATCAAAAAGAAAAGCTCATAAAAAGAGTGATTAACTAGTTAATGGTACAAACTTTTTAGCTAAACATTGGCATAAATGTCGGCCCATGTAATAATTAAATTATAGTGTGGTCTACAACCTCTGTTATCAGAATCTTACGATTCGCGATTCGATTCACGATTTTTGCAGAATTGATACGAATCTATTGATGAATTTATTTTGGAAGTGAATCTCTAATGAGTCGGACGATTCACAATCGATTTACGATTCAATTTACTTTTTATGATTCATCTAATTTTTGAAATTATTGTGTCCGGCATATTTTCAACATTTTTTTACTCCATTTTTTCGGTGAAAATGACATAATATAAATTCTAATAGCATTTAATACCAAGATAACCAATATATATACATTATTTATTGTTATTTTAGTGATTATAGAGTTTTTAATAAGATCCAATCAGATTCAGTCAGATTCAACATATTTTTAATCTTTCTTCTCATTTTTTTCCTCTAAAAAACATAATATATATTCTAAAGATGTTTAAGATTAAAGTTATACTATCAATTATCTATTGCTACTTTATTAAATTGAATATAGTTGAATATTACATGTGTGAGGTCAACTATACCTTTTAAAATGTTTCAGGCTTTAACATAAAGATTCTAAATAATTATTTCTTATTATTTGCTCATTATTTCTTAGAAAAATATGTATGCTTATTATCCAAAAACTAATATCATTGTTAATTATTGTTACTTTGGAAATTGATAGTTTGTCTATTTGGTTATTATCTTTATTAAGAATGGTTGATAAGAAATATCTAAAAAAGAAAAAAGGTAAAATGGTGATCTTACATAGAAACCTTTGTTAACTATTAAACTACGTGATTATCATTCAAAATAACATTTTCATTAATTTAAGTCTAATTATTTCATATTCATAATATATATTTAACATCTAAATGTGTAGATATATGTTTTAAGTAATTTAAAAAAAGTGACCGAATCTTTACGATTCACGATTCGATTCGATTCGCGATTCGGTACGAGGTCATTTCGATTCACGATACGAATCCCGATTTAACAACTATGGGTATAAGGTAAATCTTATTATTGTAGTTGAAGGTGTATGCTCAAGTGGTGCAGCTTTGATACATGGAAAGTGGAAAAAATTGTCTCTTGTATTCCACAACTGAAAGTCTTGCTCGAGGACAAAGAATCTGAAACTAAGAATATTTCATTGATTGCGTAAGGCAGACAATTGGAAGTCAAGATTGGGGAAATTTTCAGGGCATATGATGGAAAACTAGCGGTGTGACTTGAAGAAGTGGTGTTTTAAAAGACTGAACTGTTCAATGAACTGCAGAAGGCAGTTCAGTGGACAAACTACCAACCGAGTTAGATGACTTCTTGGTCTAAAAGAACAAATCCAAAATATTTTCAAGATATTGACTAAATTACATGTGTCAATAACATATGTTTAGAATATATTCAGTTTCCTTCTAAATTTAATCAGTAACCGGCTTATATTGTGGAGTGGTGGTTCCAAAGCCTGTTAACTTGATCAGAATTTGGTTTTTGTTGGTCATACTGTCGAGTTACTCTAGAGTCTAGCTTCTAGAACACATATGAGCTAGCTCCCAAAGTTCGTTTAATGCCATTGACCGGACCTATTTCCACTTATGTTTTCCTAAATTATAGCTGATCAGACATGCCCTGGTTTCTGATGGACTTATGGTTGCATTGATGAAAAACACATCGGGGCTTATTGGTTTGTAGTTCTACGTTATGTGATGACACTAATAACATGATATTCGTAGCCCAATACCGGGACAAGGTCTTCAAGGAGCAACCTCAAAATACAGAAGCAAGATGTGGCTTTTATGTGGAAGAAATTTTTTGAGACTCAATGCTTGTAGGAGTATCTTGAATGAGTTGTAACATAGATCTCATTTGGTTATCTGTTCTAGTATTAGTGTCTAACTGGAGGTCCTCTTTTGCAACCAAATTTCTTTATTTATTTACAATCATTATTATTTATTATTATTGTTGTTGTTGCTGTTATTGTTCTTATTATGATCTCTCTTGCTTTTGTGTGTGTGTGCGTGCACTAATGTTTTCATTATTGCGGATGGTTACTGCTCTGTTTTGTCTTGATCATTTCTAGCTTCTAGGTAGTTATTAAGAACTATTGTGAGGATTTACCAGCTCATTATGTTTATGTGTCATAACAACCCTAATACCTTTTAATCCTTTTCCTTTCTTTGGTCTTGTTA